TCTTTTGGAGAAACCTGGATAGAGGTTTGTCAATTTTGTTTATTTTTTCAAAAAACCAACTCTTGTTTTCATTGATCTGTTCAATTGTTTCTTTGGTTTGTATATTGTTTATTTCTGCCCTGATCTTTATTATTTCTCTTCTCCTACTGGGTTTGGGGTGCTCTTGTTGCTCTCCCTCTAGTTCCTTTAGGTGCGCTGTTAGATTTTGCACCTGTGCTTTTTCGAATTTCTTGAAATAGGCTGAAGTGCAATGTGCTTTCCTCTTAGGACTGCCTTTGCCGCATCCCATAGAGTGTGGATTGTTGTATTTTCATTTTCATTTGTTTCCATATATTTTTAAATTTCTTCTCTAATTGCCTGATTTGCCCATTCTTTCTTTAGGAGGGTGTTCTTTAACCTCCATGTTTTTGGAGTTTTTCCAGAGTTCTTCCTGTGATTGGTTTCAAGTTTCATAGCATTGTGATCTGAAAGTGTGCATGGTATGATCTCAATTCTTTTCTATTTATTGAGGGCTGCTTTATGACTAGTATGAGAAATATCTTGTAAAATGTGCCATGCGCACTTGAGAAGAAAGTGAATTCCTTGGCCTCAGGATGTAGAGTCCTAAACATATCTTTCAAATCCATCTGGTCCAATGTGTCCTTCAAGTCCATTGTTTCTTGAGTGATTTTCTGTCTCGTTGATCTATCCATTGCTGTAGGTGGAGTATTAAAGCCCCCTGCTATTAGCACATTCTTATCTATAAGATTGTTTCTGTTTGTGATTGTTTTAGATATTTAGGTGCTCCCATATTCGGAGCGTAGACATTTATAATGGTTAGTTCTTCCTGATGGGTAGACCCTGTAATTATTACATAATGCCCTTCTTCATCTCTTGTTATTGTTTTTTTTTTAAAGTCTAGTTTGTCTGATATATGTATAGCTACTCCAGCTTTCTTTTGACTTCTAGTAGTATGATATATATTTCTCCATCCCCTTACTTTCAATCTGAAGGTGTCCTCAGGTCTAAAATGCGTTTCTTGTAGACAGCAAATAGGTGGACTTTGTTTTTTTTATCCATTCTGCTACCCTATGTCTTTTGATTTGGGCCTTTAGTCCATTTACATTCAGTGTTATTATTGAAAAATATGGGTTTAGAGTCATTGTGTCCTTTGTGGGATTCATGCTTGTGGTGGTGTCTCTGGTACCTTGTGTTCCCTGCAACATTTCCCTCAGAGTCTCCCTAAGGATTTCTTGTAGGGCTGGTTCAGTGGTAATGAATTCTTTCAATTTCTCTTTATTTGGAAAGACTTTTATCTCTCCCTCTATTCTGAATGACAGGCTTGCTGGAAAGAGGATTCCTGGCTGCATATTTTTTCTGTTCATCACATGGAAGATTTCCTGCCATTCCTTTCTGGCCTGCCACGTTTCAGTAGATAGGTCTGTCACCACTCTGATAGGTTTCCCTTTGTATTTAGGGCCCTCTTCTCCCTAGCTGCTTTCAGAATTCTTTGTCCTTATATTTTGCCAGTTTCACTATGATATATCATGCAGAAGATCGATTCAAGTTTCGTGTGAGGGGAGTTCTCTGTGCCTCTTGGATTTCAACGTCTGTTTCCATCCCAGATTGGGGAAGTTCTCTGCTATAATTTGTCCCAGGACTCCTTCAGCACCTTTTCCTCTCTCTTCCTCTTCTGGAATTCCTATGATACGAATATTATTCTGTTTGATTGTATCGCTGAGCTCTCAAACTCTCCTTTCATGTTCCTGGATCAGTTTTCTCTTTCTCAGTTTCCTCTTTTTCTATGATTGTGTCTTCTAAATCACTTATTCTCCTTTCAGCCTCTTCAATCCATGCATTGGATATCTCCATTTTATTATGCATCTCATTTATAGCATTTTTTACTTCATCACAACTATTTTTAAGCTCCATAGTCTTTGTAGCAATAGTTTCTCTGATGTCTTCCATGCCTTTTTCAAGCCAGCGATTAATTTTATGACTTGTTCTAAATTCTTGTTCAGTTATGTTGCTAATATCTGTTTTGAGCAGTTCTTTAGCCGTCATTTTTCCTGGAATTTCTTTGGAGGAGAGTTCTTCCGTTTCGTCATTTTGGTTAGCTTTCTATCTTGTTAGTTTTAAAAACTTGTTGTGCACTCTGCACCTGTGAGTGACTGATGGCTGTGGGGGGTTAGGGGGAAGATGGGCATGTAGGAGGGCACTTGTGGGGATAAGCACTGGGTGTTATATGGAAACCAACTTGACAATAAACTATTTGTAAAAAAAAATAAAGTAAAATAAAACGAATATGTGGGAAAGAAAAAAAAAAGAGTGCAGCTGTACGAAAGAAGGCTCTTTGACTGTCAAGGGCCTGTCTGTTTAGGAAGTGTTCTTTGAATGGTGTGTCTTGGTTTCTCTTGTTGAGACCTTGGTTATTTTATTTTCCTACTTGTAGTGTTATTTGGGACTCTCCACCATGTGTACTTTGGCTTGTTTCTTGAGGTAGCCCTTGAAAAGAAAACAGACAGACAAACACATAGGGAACAAAGGCACACAAATGCACAGACAAATCCAACAAGCACGCAAACCTAAAGGGAAAATGGAAAAGAAAAAAACGAAGACACACACATACACACACACACACACACACACACACACACACACAAAAGAGGAATGTGGGAAGACAAATAATAAAAATAAAAATACATAAAAAAGAAGAAAAGAAAAGAATAAATACCCAAAAGAGAAAGGACAGTCTAAACCATAAAACCAGAATTGTCAGCTACAAATAAAGAGCCGGGTGTGTGCAGTGCTGATGGAAGAGCATATACAAAGAGAGAAATGACAGGGCAGGGTGGGGAGGAAGCAAAACTGGAAATGAGATGTGCAGGCAGAGAAACAAAAGCACAGCGGTCTGGCTTCAGGCGCTGCCGCATCCCCTCCAGGTCAAGCTGGCGAACGAGGAGCAGTTTCTCCTGGGGTCACCTGGGACCAGTGCATCCCTTTCAGGGTCAGCTGGACAGCAGGAAACTGGATCCCTCTGTGTCCTGAGTCAAGGTTTTTCTCTTCTGCAGCGACAGGGACCTGTCTTGAGCAGTTTTGGCTACTCTTTCTTTTTTCCCTAGTCTCACCATGGTTCCCCGCAAACGGGGATCCCTCCCCTCCCTCTGTGTTTCTGTCCGGCCCATTTTTGTCTTCCCCAGTTCTCACTCATGCTATAAGGTTTTCTCGGCGGATTCTGTCTCCTTTTCCTCCCAAACTCTTGGATTCTGTGTTCCTAGGGATCCAGGCCTTCTCCATTTGAGAGATGGGGGCGAGTGAAATGTACAGAGCTCCCTACTTCTCCGCCATCTTGACTCTCTCCCTTTTTTTTTTTTTTTTGAGTTTATTTGTTTTGTGTGTGCAAAAGAGAGAGAGCGGGGGAAGGGGGAAGCAAAGACTGAAGAGAGAGAATCACGGAACTGAATACAGGGGTTCATCTCATGAACAGTGAGATCATGACCTGAGCAGAAATCAGGAGTCCAACACTTAACCAACTGAGACACCTAGGCACCCCGGCATTTAGATTTTTTCATGGCTACAGACAGGTGTTACCAGTCTTAACCATTTTTCATCGATCTTTTCATCAGCCTTTCACCTAACAGTTTATCAGCCATTGGTAATCATTGACTAGATCCATTATTTCACTGAGTTGTAAAATCATTTAATTCCATCCATCCTTTTTTTCTGCTTGTATTCAGTGAAATTAAAAAAGCCATTTTCTTTCACAAGTTGTTTGGTTATCCTCAAGTACCAGCAACTTATACAAGAAATATAAAATATTTACTAGTTTTCAGAATGAGTTGGTTTTTTAGTATCAAAGGTGATCAGTGAGATTTTCCTATCAGTGTTGCTGTGAACAATGGATTTTGATTTCTTTGATGTGTTTCAATTCCTTGCAGTCATTATTCTTCTTGATGCTTAAATTGTCCCATCTTTGGCCCATGGGAGCCTTTTCAAGTTGAATCTTGTAATCTTTTGTCACAGCCCCAGGAGTGTTTGATATCTTCCTTGCTATCTGGTATGACAAGATGTTCCAGGCTCAATTTACACATTTCCTGTCCCAGATCCAGAATTAGCCATTTATCTAAGGCAACAGGGTTTCTTTTAATGGGAAATAGGAAAGAAAACAATCTGGGCTCTAGGAGTGCTCATTAGTCATCTTTTCCAGGCTCTTCCAGCGGATAATATTAGGATATATATATATATGAAATACATAGTGAATTCATACTGATATTTCCAACTCAAAAGGAGGATTATAAGGTTTTTATATAAATTTTTAGTATCTTTTACACCTAAGGTCTTGGTTCCTTATAATATTAATATAATTACTACTTGATTTATCCTACAGTATGTACCAGTATCCAAATAATGATACCAGTATTATTAGTAACAATCTAATTGAGAGCAAGTTAGGATTTCCACTTATCGCCAAGGGATGTAGAGTTAAATTACCCTACCTTAAGGTCATTTGGAAAAGGTTTCATTGATACTGAGCTTTCTTTGTTTTTATTTTTCTTTTGATTTTTAGAGTTAAGAATCTTTTGTGCTAAATACACAAAGGGGGAGGGGGCTCATAAAAAGAAGTGCTCCTGGGTGTCCGGCAGAATGAAATGAAAATGTTATGTAGAAAGTACACTATAAACCACAAGATTTATGGGAACGTAAAGCACCGACTACTGTGATTGTTTCTCTGGGGCAAAGGCCAGCTTCACTCCCAGTTAGAGGATGCTATTGGCCAAATTGTTTAGAGCTCACCTGGTCCCTGACTCAGGGTTGATCACTAGCCATTGGGGCCCAATGGTCTCTTTTGGCCATTTGACCTCTCCATGTCTCAGGCTTCTCATTTGGTGATAAATTAGAAAATCTACCTCATAGATTTTCTGTGCAGGTTAAAGGAAAATGTCTATTCTACTATATATTTTTCTTCTTCCCTCTTCTGCTTCCATCAGGAAGCTGTGTGGGAAATTTAGACCATTTAGAACATGGCAACCAAGCAGACAGAGCCGGTCACCATCATTAGCCTCCGGAAGCTGAGCCTGGAGACCCCAGAGCCACAGCAGAAAGGTAAGATAATCACGGGAATCTCATATCCTGAAGCTGCTGTTTGATTTTCCCCTGTATTTACTAGTTTTTATAATAACAGATTGGTTTCTCCACACCTTCCTCCTCATTATTAGTGAGCAGTCCCCCACATATATTCCCTTTTCACAGAGGCTATTTCTCACTCTGCCCTTCCTTGTTAGAGTCAAAGACGTTTACCGTGGAAGATGCTGTGGAGACCATTGGATTTGGACGTTTCCACATTGCTCTGTTTCTGATCATGGGCAGCACTGGGGTAAGTGCTCCTCAGAGGTCATTTGAGTCTCCAAAGCTAATTCATTATTAGACACATAGGGTCTTCTCTGACCTCCAGCTCTGGAGTGTCCATTCAGGGAAGGGAGTGACAGGAAGCAGGAACCCAGTGAGGTGGTTAATTCAACAATAATTGTTCTCTACCTGTGGCAGGTGTCTGGTCAAGAGTGGATAAATTTCTGTGTCTTTTTGTTCTGGGAATTCAATATTAATTTGTATGTATTTTTAAATGCGTAATTATTTATTTTGAGAGAGAGCAGGTATGTTTGCACTTGCGCATGCGTGCAAGCACCAGCAGGGGAGGGGCAGAGAGAAAGAGAGGGAGGGAGAGAGAATCGCAGGCAGGCTCCATGCAGGCCCCAGAGCGGGGCTCAAACTCACAAATCGTGAGATCATGATCTGAGCCAAAACCAAGAGTGGGACGCTTAACTGACTGGGCCACCCAGGTGCCCCTCAATATTCATTTTTAAAAAATCCTTTAACTCTTTTCCTTCTCTGGGAAGAGAGGAGAAAACTAGTATCATACTAAGTAAAATGGGGCACATGGCCCTCAAACATTTTGTGCATAAGCATCCCATGGGACATCTGTTGTAATTACAGATTTCCAGAACCTTGAAGCGGTACTGATGAAGGTTTGCTATTTACCATCAGCTATTATGAGAAAAGAAGAGTGAGCTCGGCCTCAGGGCTTTCACTGACAGTGAGCCCACTACAGACAAAACCACTACAGCTTCCTCCCATTTTGCATAGGTGCGCTGAGAATATGTTAGGAATATGATAGTGATCATGAGACCCAATGGAGAATCTGAGAGAGGGGGTCCGCATGACAGTGGTTTAAGGTGGAAGACGAAGATGGCCATGAGACTAGTGAATAAATAATAGCCCTGACCCTCACTCTCAGCTAAATGGTTTGAGAAAAAGAGTCATGTGAGCTGGAGGTGGCACTTGACACGTTCTGAGGCATCACTGCAGTGTCCCTGCACTCTCAGGAAGCAGTCCAGTAAAGGACAGAAATGCAAGACATGTCCTGGCCCTACTTTTATGATAAACAACAATACAATTTAGAACATTTCTTCACCTATAAAGTAATATCTCACCTAGGCTCCAAAATGTTAAGATTCCATATTTCAAGGCATGAGAGGGTATGAATGGGCAAAGTGCTAGCCTAACTTTCCTCTACTGTCAACCAGAACATTTCTACTTCTGTTTTTCATATTTGGTTTCCAGCATGGTTTAATTAGTGGCCCCCTTGGCTTAAACACTGCTAAACTCTGCATCTTTTACCTTCAAATATATTGAGAACCCTGTCTTTTCTTCCATAACAGCAAGTGAAAAGGATACACAGAATTTTTTGCGTTCCCAAATCAAACCATCTGTACAAAGAGAGTGCATTTTTATTGGTTATTATTTGTATTGGAAAGATGGTACTGAGGGCATGCCTGGGTGGCTTGGTCAGTTAAGCATTCGACTCTTAATTTCAGCTCAGGTCATGATCTAATGGATTGTGAGTTCGAGCCCTGTGTCAGGCTTCGAGCTTACAGTGCGGAGCCTGTTTGGGATTCTCTCTCCCTCTCTCTCTGCCCTCCCCTGCTTATTTTCTCTCTCAAAATAAAAACAAACTTAAAAAAAAAAAAGGAAGATGGGGGCACCTGGGTGGCTCAGTTGGTTGAACACCTGATTTCGGCTCAGGTCTGATCTCACCATTTGAGAGTTTGAGCCCCACGTTGGGCTTTGTGCTGACACCTCAGAGCCTGGAGCCTGCCTCAGGTTCTGTGTCTCCCTCTCTCTCTCTGCCCCTCTCCCACTCGCACTCTGTGTCTCTCTTTTTCAAAATATAAATAAACATTAAAAAAAAAGATGCTGCTATTGTACCCCTTCCCAAATGATACTTATCACCTCTATATAACTAAGCCCTGATGTCCATATCCAGATCCATGTTTGTGGAGAATGTGAGAATGTGTGTCTATTGCACATATATACTTGATGTTGTTGTGAAATAGCTTCTGGTTTTCTTTAAGTGTTTTATAAGCCACTTAAGTTCTTCCCAACCCTTCAAGATTGGAAGGGCTATTTACCAGGTCCGTCCCTCCCTCCGTCTCTCTCTCTCTCTCTCTCTCTCTCTCTCTCTCACACACACACACACACACACACACACACACACACACACACACACACAAGTGTTTAATTGGGTGTTGTAACCAAATTCCTCCCCTGTTTTTAGTATGGGCTGCTTTGGATGGATCTTCTCATCAGAATAAGTGTGTTGACAGTGATGGGCATGGCTCCTCCTGGCCATGGTCTGTTAAAGTTCTTGGTCCGAGGCAGTGGGAGCACTAGTTGGATTTCAGGGCCTCACATGACCAGGGTATGTGTAATAGCAGCAGCACGGCCTCAGTCTCTGACCAGGCCATCCCAATGTCCTCTGAGGTCTTCTAAGATCTCCTTCTTCTTCTTTTTAATGTTTGTTTATTTTTGAGAGATAGAAACAGAGCACAAGTGGGGAGGGGTAGGGAGAGAGGGAGACATAGAATCTGAAGCAGGCTCCAGTCTCCAAGCACTTGAACCTGTGAACTGGGAGATCATAACCTGAGCCAAAGTCAGACGCTTAACCAAATGAGACACTGAGGAGCCTCTAGATCTTCTTATACAGTGCTGCTCCATGATGCCCCCTCCCTAGGTCCCAGCTTGTCCCTCTTCCCTAAGCCTATTATATCAGAGTAGGGCAGAGCTTTATCCCTTATTGGCTTACTTTCTCCTAAGTCCATTTAGAGGAGTGGAGTCCTGATTAGTATTGACCTACCTGCTCTGAATTACTGAGAGGAATATGTTTAATAAATCAAACATCTTTCTGAGGTTGTCATGCCATCTCTTATTCATTATACTTTTTGGGCTAAGACATACCAGCTCTCTGAACTCTAAGCATGACTATAATACTCTCCAAGAAGAGACAAGCTTTTATGATACCTTTCCAATTCCCATGTAGTAGCTAACACCACTATACTTTGTTCATCCCAGACCTTCAAGTTATAAATATGCAAATAGACCATAATACATAATCCACATAAATATCAGTTCTTCCCTAACATCTTTCCCTGAGATATAAATTCACCCTGCAATGGATTGCAAGAAATGAACAGAGGATGATATTCAAACTTGCTATTTATTAGCACAGAGTACACTGAGTTTGCTGAATAGACACTGTTTCCTGATGATGAACTCGTTGTTCTGTACTTGCTGCTTTAAGTTCTTCTGGTTTTCATGAAGCTTGCCTTCTATCTCAGCTTCTTGAGTGCAGAGACTATTTCACAAGTCTATCTGCAAGGGCTATGCCCTGAGACTTTCACAATCATCAGTATGAAGCAGCAAAGCTAGGTTGATGTAGATGCTGTGGTTAGCTAGGTTATCCCACTAGGTAAGTGACTGCCCCCTCCCCACCCCAACACCCTCCTAGTGCTGCAGTGCAAATGCATGGATCAGCAACATCACAGATGAATACTCATCCTCAATCTGTGGGAACCTAGCTATTACATCTGTGAAAGCCAAAGTTCTATACTTCTTTATCCAACTAGAAGTGCCAAGTGGGTTCACAATAGGTGCTCCCTAAGCGGGGGAGGGGAAAGGAGGGGGTAAGGATTAGAAGGCAAATGTGGGAAGAATTGATGAGAAGCTAGCAATAAGATATGGTATTTTCTCTCCTCTTTTAAGGTTGCCGAGGCCATGGAGATCATGTTAATAGCAGTCGTGTCTCCTGTCATCCGCTGTGAATGGCAGCTGGAGAATTGGCAGGTGGCATTAGTGACCACGGTGAGTGCCTGCTTTGAATAAACCAGCTTCTGCTCCCCTCCCTCCATCCCGCAGGGCTGAGAGCCAGAGGCTCCCTCACTGTTTGATGTGTTGGCTTGGCAGGGTCAGACTGCCATTTTAGGTCTTTCTCTTTCCTCTACTCCTGTAGGGAGCACAACCTTGAACTGCTTGTTTTCTAGCCCCTAGCAAGAGGCTAGAAGAGACCGATGCAAATCAGAGAGAGTAGCTCTTAAGTCACAGATTAGTTATGGCTTGAGTCAGACTGCAAATTAGTTGAACCATAGTGACTTAGGCAATCATCAAATCACCATCACTGAGGTGAACTGTATTACGCAAACAACTTTCCTCAGAGATCATTACGAATAGCTTTATGAATTGTACCCCAAGTTTTGCCACGGAGGGAATTAAGGATATTATATATCATTGTTTCAAAAGGTATTTATTTAGTGCCGATGGATGGCCAGCAGGCGCTGTGTGCATACATGCGTGTTGGAGGGAGTGCAAGCAGTTCCCTGTTGCCTGAATAGAAAGTCAGGAAGAGAGAGCAATGGAGACGAGTTTGCAGAGACAGGTGGGGGCCAGAAGCATCTTGGAGTCAGTGCAGGGACTCCATTCTGGAGACCACTGTAGGCCCCTGTGCCCCAACTTGGGTCAACATGTGCAAATCCTCCAAGCAAAAAATAGTCGGCCTGTATGATAGTTTTTCAAATTATTGTTTTATGTAACAAGAATCAATTTTATCCAAACACATCATTGACTTCATAGTCATTATGTATTTCTCATTAAATGGATATTAAAGTCTACTTCCTATCATGCAGAGCTCTGGTAAATCTTTGTCTTTTTTTAATCTTAAAAGAGGTTCTTCATGCTTAAAATGGTGGAGGCCACACTGTGGATGACAGGGAGCCATTCAGGGGCTTTAAGGAGGGACATGGTCAGCTTTCCAAGAGCTCTGAGGAGATAAGGTTGGAAGGTAGACAAGTTAGCAGTGGTAAAGCGGCAGAGTGGTTGGACGTGAGGAAGCGTGTTCTGCAAGTATTTAAGAGGTCCCATGAGCCAAGGAGGTAAAAGAAGCACAAGGTGAGGAGTGGAGAATTGTTGTACTTGGGTATTTAAGCTGGTTTTCATGAAGTCAGGACTTAAGAGAGAAGTACAGTGAGCCAGGTGCCAAGATGCTCACTGAAAGGGGAGTGTCAGGAAGCAGGTAGGCGGTGATGGGTACAGAATGCAGAGTCACACGGCAGAGGTTTTGAAAGAGGGCGAGGCTCTGTAAGAGAGTAAGTTATGGCCTGAAACTGGCCATGGAGAATGCTGGAAGTTTTCCCTAGCTCCCGAGCCTTCTGCAGGTTATGGGCAGAGAGCAGCCTTGGCTGCTTCTGGGGAAGGGGTGTCCCCGTCTCTCACTTGGGAATTCCTCACCTGGGAATTCTCATCTGCGCTGGAAGCCAGGAACCTCATCCCCACCTCAGCAACTGATCTGAGTTCTCCCTTCAGGTGACATATAATGTCCACACAGTTGTGGTGTTCTCTGTGTCATGGAGGCCAGGAACCAATAGAGCCCAGTTGTGTACTCAATCCCAGCAGCAAATGCACGGATCTACTTATTTTCTTACGTCTATTTCCCTCTTTAAAGTTCCATTTTAAATTTTGTTGCACTTGTTCCTTTTTTTTTTTTTAAGTTCTAATACTTTTAGGGGTACCTGGGTGGCTCTGTTGGTTGAGCATCTGGCTCTTGGTTTTGGCTCAGTTCTGATGTCAGGATTCGGGCGATCGAGCCTTGTGTCGGGCTCTGTGCTGCCGGTGAGGAGTCAGCTTGGAATTCTCTCTCTGTCCCCCCCTCTCTTTCTCTGCCCCTTCCTCACTCATGTGCTCTCTCTCTCTCAAAATAACTAACCTTAAAAACATTTCTAGTGCTTTTTTTTAAAGGTTTATTTATCTTGAGAGAGAGAGAGAGAGAGAGAGAGAAAGAATCCCGGGCAGCTTCCACCAACTGAGAGATCATGACCTGAGCTGAAGTCAAGAGTCAGCCACTTAACTGACTGAGCTACTCAGGTGCTCCCAAAGTTCTACTACTTTTAGAAGAGGGAAGGAGTATAAATAAAAATAGCTAAAGGCCTTACCTGGGCTTGTAAGTAAGTGACTCCGCCATTTTTCATTTTTTTCTATGTACAAAAGGTAGTTGCAATTTTGAGAGCCTTCCTGGTCAGTCCTGTCCCCCTAGAGCGAGTACTGTAAGGTTTTGTGTAATTACAACTGCACCATGCCCCAGCTGGTCTGTGGCTGTGCACAGCCTCTTTCCTGAGGATGCTGGGAGAGCCAGCTGCGGTGTCTGCGTCTGTCACTCCCACGAAACTATATTACATGGTTCGCTTTCTATATTTACAGCTGAGACTTCATCGGTTGCATTTATGTTGTTTCTGGTGGCATCTAAGGAGGCTCCCTAACATCAGCTGTAACACGACTTCCTTGTTAGGTGGGTCCCAGCTCAGAGAAAGTTCTCTAGGGAATTCATGTCACCCCTCATGTGACCATTTCTTGCTCATAGTTGACTACGAGCTGACTACCTGGCTAACTACCTGGCTGACTACCATTCTTTAGTGTCTTTCATCCTGGCTTTCGTGTCTGTGAGTCCCATCCAACGTTGGCAACTGTACTCTGGGCTCACTGACCACAGCCTTGCTGACTGGAGGGGCCTGGACCACTTCAGCCAAGAGGCCACATTTTCATCATCTCCCAGGCTCCCCATCTCCCAACCCAGCGCCACCTTCTGGTCAGCCTGGCCTGAGCAGTTAACTGTAAAACCTTGAGGAAGAATTAAGGTTCCTCATGTTTTGTGGATGAAGAAAACTTTCTGTGGTGCATAAAACAGAAATAGAAGAGTAATTTTTATGCTAAAAATAAGTACCTGCAGAGAAAGCAGACCCTTCAAAGAAAGGGGGAGAGACAGGGAGAAAGAGTGAGAGAGTTTTATGTCTTCATGCCTCTGTGCGATCTTCCAAATAGGATCAGCGTTCACAAGCTTTGGGGTTCGTATGGACTTTGAGTCAAAGTTTGTGCTACAGGTATGCTTAATAATAAACAACTCACCCTTAAGAAAGTCATTTCTTTACACCGAATGGGAAGAAAAGAAGAAAAATTTTTTAAAAACCTGCCACTGATGGGAGAGAACAGAGTAAACCTTAAAGTTAAACTTACTTGACTATTTCCTTCACCTGTATTAAAAAGTTAATTAAATTTAATCCAGTTGCAATTTAGTCTATTAACCCAACATAGTATCTCCATAAACAAAAGTGTTTTAAATCCAAAGAGCCACTTTCCTCCTTGCCCTGGGTGGTTTGTGTCCGACCTCCTTTCATTCAACTCTGGTCAATTCTTCTTCCTTCTTGGAGGGAGTTTGATAATTTCATAATAGAAACTGCTTAATTTCAGGGATACCCACATTTTGATATTCACCAACTGATAGGACTTTTTCTTCGGAGGCTTCACACCCAGCACAGAGCCCAATGGAGGACTTGAACTTAGGACCTGAGATCAAGACCTGAGCTGAGATCAAAAGTTGATGCTTAACTGACTGAGCCATCCAGGTGCCCCACTGATACGATTTTTTTTAAGTTTTCAAAAAATTAAAAAATTTTTATTTTTTATTTTTGAGAGGGGGTGACAGAAAGAGGGAGGGAGAGAATCATGCGGGGGTTGAACTCATGAACCAGGAGGTCATGACCTTAGCTGAAGTCAAGAGTCAGATGCTTAGCCAACTGAGCCACCCAGGCGCTCCTGAAATGGTGGTGGTGTTGTTTTTAATTGAGTGGCTGACATAGGGTTGACATTAAAATACATATATATGTTTGATAATCAAGGCCATTAGACAAAGAGAAGGAGGTAAAAAATCTTGTCATCAACTACCATCATCTTAAAAAAAAAAACACATTAATACTACAATCAGAAAGAAAATTATTCCAGAATTTAAAAAGCCCTTAATATTTAATAAATTTAGATTTATTCAAAATATATCACATTGATCTTATTTTTACCATTTTTCTGAAGATCAATTAGATTCCATGATAGGACAGCATCTATCCCAAGACTGGCATTTAGAAAGTACTGACTTCTTCCCCCCTCCCCTTCTATCCTGGAAAGCACAGTGCACAGAGGAAAAACATGGCTTTGTGTTCAAGAATAGATATGATTGTTTTTATAGTTCCTTGTGGAAGAAATGTGTTTCAGTCTTCCTTAAGACGAGTAGGGAAGGGAGAGAGAAAGCAAAGCAGGCAGAGAGAAACAGCTCTCTTACTGAAAAAGTCTTAGAAATGCAAGCTAACACCTTTCCTTTGATTACCCTAGAGGCAATCAGTCAGAGATCTTACTAGAAAGGAAAGCTAGTGAAGCTTGGAACTGCTTGAAAAAAGAAAAATAAGTAGCCTAAAGGCACAGACATCAGATCACAACTCAGGCCAAGTTAAAATGCTGGTATCCTATCTAGCTTCTTGAATTTTATCAGCATAGGCCAAGCCATAATGAGAGCAAGTAAGAAAAAGAAATAGATTTATATTAGTTTTGAAGAGTGTTTCTAAATGAATTATTAGTTTTGATATTTGTTTAAAGTTTCTATTTACCTGTGATAACACAAAGGGAAATTGCTTCTAGAAGTCTCAACTTGTGTGTGGCATAAGGTAGGTCGTGAAGGAATAGAGTTTTTCTCTTAATTCTTAAAATGGAAATTTGCGGTGATACATCTGATTAGAATGAGGCCAGTGCTGTCATCTTGGGTCACAGGGAAAGCAATGACCTGTTCCTTCGACTCCGTGGAGTCGCTGCCTCCAGGTGTGGGGTGAGCCTAGGGGAGGCATCAGCCTCTGGAGCCCTGAGCATGTGAACCAGAGAAGGAAAGTTTTGTGAACACACGTTCTTCATCTTCTACCCCTCACACATTTCCAATCAACTTTTCGTTAAGACGGATGAATGGGAAATGCAGTAATCAGCATATTATTGATAGCCTGCCTACAGGATAATTTTTTCTCACTCCATCTCCAGATGGTGTTTTTTGGCTACATGGTATTCAGCATCCTCTTTGGCCTTCTGGCTGACAGATATGGCCGCTGGAAGGTAGGTTGGCCTTGAAGAATAATTTGTAATTCTCTTTTGTGTATTCTTTTGTGACGATGTCCCCACTGCTTCTTTCTCTTTAAAAATTTTTTAAAAATTTATTTTGAGAGTGAGAGTGAGAGAATCCCAAGCAAGCTCCACATTATCAGTGCAGAGTCAGATGCAAGGCTTGATCTCACAAACTGTGAGATTATGACCTGAGCTGAAATCAAAATCGAGGGTCTGACGTTTAACCGACAGAGCCACCCAGGTGATCCACCACTGCTTCCCTTTAGTGGACATGTATCTATCAATAATGAAGATAGAATGTGCAAGAACGTCCTTCTCTGTCACCACGTGCCTGAATTCCAGGCTTGGCTTCTTGCTTTCTGAGGTATTTTCCTAAGGTACCTACCCTTATACCTGATTCCCATTGTCCATGTATGGAATTGAGGGATGTGCATAGTTAGAAAATATTAGAGTGTAGAGATTTACACATATAAGCATAAGCAGCTTGACATTAGTTAACTTTGATATCGCTTTGAAACTAAGCCACTTGCTCAAGACCACATACCTACTAGGATTAAACAGTATAAACAGTAAGACATAAATGTATATCTTCTGGCTTTAAGCCTCGGTCTCTCTCTTTTTTCTTATCTGGTTTCTGGTAGGGAAGGCCTCTCTAAACATAAGCACAAGAGAAGGGGTGGGGGAGCCCCAAAGGAAAATAACTAAAGAATTGGCTGTATGTTTTACAGTACTCAGAATAAATAACATAGACATTCACAAATTAATTTGAAAACACAAGCATCTCAAAAAATGCAAAAACCACAAGAAGACATTTTACCAAAAAAAAAAAAAAGAAAGAAAAAGAAAAAGAAATACAAATGATCAACAGATCTTAAAAAAAACATTCAAAAATGGCAGCTCCCAAAAGGAAAAATATCAGGAAGCATACATTTTTTATTACCAAATCCATAAGGAATTTTCTTGTTTTAGAGAAGGTTGCAAGTGTACAGACACCTTCACGTACTTACTGGTATAGTTTTTCTGACCATTGGTTTGGCATATGAATCAAGAACCTTGAGAATAACCATTCTCCTAATCTGATCATTTTCTTTTTTCCTTTTTTAAAAAAAGTGTTTATTTCTTGAGAAAGAGAAAGAGAGAGAGAGAGCATATACACAAGCTGGAAGTAGCAGAGAGAGAGGGAGAGAGAATCGCAAGCAGGGTGAAGGCAGAGCCCTATGCTCAAACTCACAAACTGTGAAATTGTGATTGGAGCTGAAACCAAGAGTTGGATGCTTAACTGACTGAGCCACCCAGGCCCTTCTGATTATTTTCATTCTAGAAATCTAGCCTGTTTAGATTACCAGACAACCATAGAGATATATGCACAGACACTGTCACAGCTAATTATAATTGTGAGAAAACCTCAGCATGCAACTCTAGGAGACGGGCTTATGCGTCATATTGCATGTATCTAGTCCATCTTTCATTGGCATATTTTGCAGCCATTAAAAATATGCCTTCCCTTTCAAGCAGGGAAAACAGGATTAAAAACATGGTAACATTTTTCTTGGGGTTAGTATTTTCTTTGGGTTAGGGAGTCAAGCAAGTCAAGCAAGATTTAAATATTTTGTCTTTCTCTTTTTCTTCCATATTCTCTACTGTGAATTTGTACTATTCTTATAATTAGAGAAAAAGTAAATAACCTTAAGGTTTCTCCTCATACCCATTCTGACACAATGCTTCACTGTGCTCCTAGCGAGGGCAATTTTTTGCATCCTGATTTAGAAGTTTAGGCTCCAGTCACCTGTTAGGGTGGATGCAATTGGGCAGTTTTGACAAATGGTCTAAATTTGGAATGCCTGGGCTTTCAGGCAATACAATGGTACTGATTGTGTTGCTTGAAGATGGGGAGAGATTGGTGATCTCCCTGTAGATAAGCTCCTCAGAGAAGCAAGCATCCGGATGGAAATTAAAAATCACCTTCAGAAGTTAAATTTTCTCCTGTGCCTTCCTTTGATGCAAGTCCCACTAATAAGCCTCCTATTGTTGCTTCAGATTTTGCTCATCTCGTTCCTGTGGGGAGCCTACTTCTCCTTGCTGACCTCTTTCTCTCCCTCGTACATCTGGTTTGTCTTCCTGCGGACAATGGTGGGCTGTGGCGTGTCTGGTCACGCACAAGGGTAAGGACTTCAGCTAGAGGTTGCTTGGGAGAAAGATGCGTACCCACCCCCAGGTACTTAAACATACTCTGTGGCTAATGGGTCAATAGCATCAATAAGTTGCAAATGTATAAGACCCCACGTGTGCTAATTAATTTTCAGCTATTGATTGATTGATTGATTGATGACTGCTTTTTTCACTAAGAGCTATTTACTCATTAAATGACGTTTGATGGTGAGGCTGGCAGAGTGCACTAGATTGAATGCGTGTCAACTTTTCTGTCCCTAAGGCCGATCTTTATCTAAATGCTAAGACTAAATGCTAAGCCGAAGTGCTATTTGAGGTAGGAAACAAACACGATCTATTAATTTCTTGAGGATTTGTTGCAAGAATTTAGTTTGATTAGAAGCACCTTTAACATTTAGGAGTTACTGTTTTAGAGTGCCATTGCCCTGTGACCAAACACCATGTCTAAGTGCATTTGCAAAGCAGAGGGAGAGCGCTGAAGGAGATTGCTGCTGCTTGTCCTCATCTGCCCTGGGATAAGTGTGCGGTGTCTTCTTGTGCCTGGGCGTGGGAAAGGCATTCTGCTGAAAGTTCAGCAACTTGGAGCCTCCCTTAAATTAGCAGGGCCCCTCAGGCTACTCTCTCCTGGGTGCCTTGGAGCAAGTTACCCTTAGAATATATTAAGAGATATCAAAGCACCTAATTATTACCTTAATGTGTTGGGGAGAGATTATTCTTCCCTGGGGCAGAAATTAAGCCCCACTCTGAGCTTTTGAATTTTAAAACATCCCTCAGGAAGCAGCCCAATAAATCTATCAAGAAAGCCCAAATCCTACTTAATAACTGCAACAGAGAAAAGCAATTAGAAAACTGACGGAATATGAATCTCTCTATTTGTGTACACACAAAATTAATATGTACTTAATTAGAAATCTGTGCTTTGACTGTCTTCATTTGTTGTGGCAACTACTTACTTTCTTTTAGGTGTATTTTAATTTCCCAAGTATGTTTTAGAAAAGGATATCAGACTTGGCAAAACATTTTACCAACTTTGTGGGAGGTGGGGGGATGGGAGGGGAGCGCAAAAAAAAAATAAGGCTCATCTTTCTTAAATGGTAGAAGGTTTAATATAATATTGGGAATAAACAGTAAGCAGAGGAGCAGCTCTAAATTTCTTATTGTTCTCTTGTGTAGATATTAGCTCTGTTAGCAATTATACAGCAAACATAATTGTTGAGGAAAAACTTCTGTTTTCCTTTATACACTCACACTCAATACTTCTGACAAATCTGCACTTCTGACACTGAGTGTGTGGGTTATTTACACACTGACTCTGTGACTGAAAACTGCATCTAAGTGCATTTGCAAAGCAGAAGAAGGCCACTGGAAGAGATTGTTACATGTATATAATATAAAAGTATATATTTCTTGCCATTTCACAATGATGAACTCTACAGTTTTTAATTCTTTATCTCTGTGACAAGAGAAGTTATGATTTTTAAAAGTTATTTGCTTTTGTAAAAACAAATTTATTCTCTTTCCCCTCCCTTCCTGCTTAGGCTAATCATAAAGACTGAATTTTTGCCTACAAAATATCGAGGCTATATGCTCCCCTTGTCTCAGGTAAGGTAAAATAGAAAATCTACCCGGTCTTTGGATCCTTAAGAATATGATGTACATGGTTTTTCTTCTGGCTGACTGATTGTTGATTGTTTGATTAGCACACTGCCTATTTCTTGGTATGAACCGGAGAACACTGGCAATGCTTGATGCCAGAGGTCCTATTCCAAGTTATCCTGAGCCCTGGCTTCTGTCATACAACAGTACCATTTAGAACACAGTATCCCCTTCTGGGAAACATTCCAGTGGCTGGTTTCAGCGGAATGAGAGAAGGCCTGGAATGCATCTGGGATGCGCTTTCCCCTTCCACTGAGTCTTCAGTGGTGGTCAGCGGGGTGGGTGGAGGACACAACTACCCCTTTATAGGACATCCCATTTGCCCTCCAGGGTTACTGGTGTCTGCAAGGCCATAATTGGCCCATGCCTGTGGGGACATGCTGTAAGTGCCTCGTCTGCCTGAGCCATCTATCCAGGTGAGAAGACTGGGATGCTTCCAAGCCCTCCCCAGGCCCCACTGGCCACTGAGGAGAGGTTTTCCATCTAGAAGCCATGTCAATGAATCTAGGTGCCCTTGTACCATTTCTGATGCTATCCTTATCCAGAAGCCCTGACTTTCAGGTGGCCCAGGAAAGAGACATCTCTTCTCACTGAAACATATGTTTGACAATAAATAAAGCAGTAGGAGAATATTTTAAAATTTATTTTAGGGAATGCCTGGGTGGCTCATTCTGTTAAGTGTCTGACTCTTGATCTCAGCTCAGGTCTTGATCTTAGGGTCATGAGTTCAAACTTCATGCTGGGCCTTGTACTGGGCATGAAGCCTACTTAAAAAATAAGGGCACCTGAGTGGCTCAGTTGGTTAAGCCTTAGACTTCAGCTCAGGTTATGATCTCACAGCTCGTGAGTTCAAGCCTTGCGTCAGGCTCTGTGCTGACAGCTCAGAGCCTGGAGCCTGTTTTGGATTTTGTGTCTCCCTCTCTCTCTGCTCCTCTTCTGCTTGAACTCTGTCTCTCTCTCTCTCAAAAATAAATAAACATAATAATAATAATAAATAAAATAAAATTTATTTCAAATTTTTCCAATACTAAATTTAGGCAACTAGAAATGCGAAAGAATATAACAAATACTGGTATGCTAAGTCTTTACATTTCTCCCAGCTTTCTTCTGATCTTTGTTAAGGTGGATGCATATACTTTTGATACTTAGCATTTAGATTTTACACTTAACATTATTTCCTGGGCGTGGGCCTGCTCAAGCTTATGTGTGGACATTTTCTCTTCCACCTGCCATCCCTTGGTATTCATTGGCATGCTTGCTGGTTATGTCTTCTCCTTGCTAGTCCTATTTTCCTGCCCTCCTTGGGTCATCTAATTAATTCCAATGGTTTTAGCTATCTATATTTGTAAACCCCAAAAATCTTTATCTGCAACCAAGAGCATCTCCTTGAACTTCAGTTGCAGGCAGCCAATAGACTACTTGATAGTCACTTAACTATCATATAGGCTCCACAAATATGATATGGATAGAATTCACCTCTTCATGTTCCCCTGAAACCTCTTATTTCCATGTTCCCTCTATATTGGGGACACAAACAAGAGCCATCCCTGATTCTTCCTGTTCCCTTATACCCATTCAAGCTGTCACCGAGTCCTGCTGATTCATCCCTTATTGATGGGCCCTCAACTGCAGTGTCCCATCAGCAAACCCTGTCACCTTTACTCCAATATCTGTGCCAAATCATCATTTAAAATTTTTTGCCATTTCGCTACTGAAATCCTTTACAGTGCCACATTGCCTGTTTTCTGGTCTACTGCAATGGCTTCCTCCTAGTCTCTCCAGAAAGTTCATCCCTCAGCACCCAAGTCACACTCCATGATATTACTCTTTTTTTTCCCCACAGTCCTTAGCACTTGCTGAAATACTCTTGTTCATTTTTTATGATAGAAGTATTTAGTGATAAAATAGTCATCCCTTAGTTAGACTCCCCCAAAGAGTCTTTTTTTAAATATTGTCTTCTCTCCATCTCTGTGAGGTGGAGTGAGGTTGTCATTTACTCTCCAGCTTCCAATGGGGAGATAATGCCAACACTAATACTTGGAACTGTTTGAATTCCCAAACTCATAAGGCCAGGCCAGAATTGGCTGCTATGTTATTTGTTGATGTAAAATTATCTTCAAGATACATTTTCAGTACAAAAAGCAATATTTATACTATGATGCCATTTGTAAAAAAAGAGAAGAGCAAGATATATCCTTATTAGCTTGTGTATGCTTAGAACAACTTTGGAAGGACACAAGAAATTTGGGAATATTGGTTCCTTCTGAGACAAGAACTGGATGGCAGGGAACTCAGAGCAAGAGAGTATTTGCAGTGTTTTCCTGTGCCATTTGTGTTATGAACCAGTGAATCTATTATTTATTCAACAGGGAAAGCAATGTCACTGTCTCAGGTTTTTAAAACTTTGGTGACATTACTTACCCCTTGTGTAGTGAGCCTTCCATTGATAGACAAGCACACTGAGCCACATTGAAGTGAAATGATTTTCCCAGTTCATTCCAGGTCCTGGAGGTCATGCTGGGAGTAGAACCTCAAAGACCTTCTCCCCCTCCCCCCTTTTCTTCTCTTCCCCTCTCTTCCTCTTCCCCTCTCACTCTGAAATGCTGGACAGAGAGGCTCCTGAGAGAGGTAGTGTTAGGCACATTGATAGGAGAAATGTTAAAGATTTTATTTCCAAGTAATCTCTACACCCAACCTGGGACTTGAACTTACAACCCTGAGATCAAGAGTCACATGCTCTACTGACTGAACTAGCCAGGCACCCTGATGGGAGGACTATTAATCTTCCATTCTCTCCCCAGATTTTCTTTTCTTTTTTAAAAAAAATTTGTTAACATTTATTCATTTTTGAGACACAGAAATAGAGTGCAAGTGAGGGTGTATATGAGAGAGAGGGAAGCAGAATCCAAAGCAGGGTGCAGGCTCTGAGTTGTCAGCACAGAGCCCCATGCAGGGCTCAAACTCATGAACTGTGAGATCATGACCTAAGCTGAAGTTAAATGCTTAACTGACTGAGCCACCCATGTGCCCCATCTCTCCCCAGGTGTTCTGGCTGGCTGGCTCCCTGCTTATCATTGGCCTGGCCTCTGTGGTCATCCCCAGCATTGGGTGGCGATGGCTCATCCGCATCGCCTCTATTCCTGGCATCATCCTAATCTTGGCCTTCAAGGTGAGGATGCTCACGGGCTCCCTCTGGCCCTCCTTCCAGTTGGGCCACTATCCCTCTTGCCCTGCAAGTACCTTCCTCACATCTGCTTCTTCCCTTTGCTCAAAACTGTCTCAATCCACTTCATCCTTCCCCTCCTGTATCCTGCCTTCTGATTGTTCATTCCTGGATGTTTTGTCTGACAACTCCTCCCTATTTGGGCTGACCCCTCTCGAAGCTTTATAGCTTGTAGTTGGATGCCTTCTACACATTCTCAGGCCACTGAAGACTGGCTAGTTTGTCCTTCTGTTCTCCTACTAATTTGCAGAATCCCCATTTTCCTTAGGTTCTCATAGAATTATGCTCATTGTTCAAAGTCGGGGTTGGCCACTCAGTGGAACTGGGATGTATTTTGTGTGTTTATCACCTAACACCATGGAATCAAAGAATTTGGGGTTTCAGAAAGGTCCTATGAGGACATTTATTTCATACCCCAACCCAAAGCACACATCCTGTCTGTGCTAGAATACTTCTGGCTTTGGGCATTTTAATTTTTATTTATTTTTGAGAGAGAGAGACAGACAGACAGATAGACAGAACAAAAACACAAGTGGGGGAGGCACAGAGAGAGAGAGAGAGAGAGACATAGAATGTGAGTCAGGCTCCAGGCTCTGAGTTGCCAGCACTGAGCCTGATGTGGGGCTCAAACTCATGAACTGTGAGATCATGACCTGAGTCAGATACTTAATGGACTGAGCCACCTGGGGAATTTTTAGACTTCAGACTTTATAGACTACTTCCGTATGTTCCATCTGCAGGCAGTCCCAGTTCTTAGGAAGTTCTTTCTTCGGTTGAGAGGACCCTTCCTTACAAATTTACCTGCAGTCTTAGGACTTGTCTCTGAAAAACCAGAGGTCTGTCTTCTACATGATATTTTACCACATACTTAAGAATCTAGTCCAATCAAAGCTTTCCTTCTCTGAATTAAACAGTACCATTACCTTCAACTTGTTCTCATGACACCCGGTCCCAGAGCCCTGTCCATTTTTTTCTGGATGAGCCAGTCGGTCATTGTGATCATCTGTTACCTGATGTCCCACACAAGCCGCAGGTGCCTGGGCTCAGGAGCTTAGTGGGCTTGGGGTTTCCCATGAATAGCCCATCTGCCTTGCTTGGTGTAGTCTGACTGTGCTACTTCGTAGCCAGCTGCCTTCCACAGCTGGTGCTGCTGGGCTTCAGATCAACTATAACCCAAGGTCTGTTCTGTGTGAGTTGTTTCCAAGTCTAGACACCTGAAAACTATTGTTGGACAATTGATATGTTCATTGTTCCTAATGAATAGTGTGTGTCTCTTAGGGTTGTGGGGAGGATTAAACAAGGTAATGTGTAAAGCTGTCTTCATGAGCCTAGAACATCATCAGTTTTCAACGTGTATTAGCTAAACAACTATATTATTACCTTTTTAAAAATTATTAATTTGAGGGGCACCTGGATGGCTCAGTTGGTTGTGCATCCAACTTTGGCTCAGGTCATGATCTCGCATTTTGTGAGCTTGAGACTGGCATCAGGCTCTGTGCTGACAACTAGGAGCCTGTACCCTTTTTCAAATTCTGTGTCTCCCTCTCTCTCTGCCCCTGCCCCGCTCATGCTCTGTCTCTCTCTCTCAAAAATAAACAAACATTTAAAAAATTATGATTTTGAATCTTGACCTCATCATTGGATCGATCACACTCACATTGAGCATATACCAGTCTCAACATTAGCTTCCAAGGCTGAAAATAGCATAAGACACAGTTCTTGCCTCCAAGGACCTCCAGCAAGAGACAGCTATAAAAGCAAAAGGTGGTGGCACCAGTGAGACCCGGTAGGCGCTATAACAGCTCTCCTCTGGGCGCGCAGCGGAGGGAGTGGTTTGTTCCAGTGGGATGGTGCTGTTGACTTAGGCCTTGTGGGCTGGAACGGCTTGCATTTGGATGGCCAGACGGGGGAAAGGGCATTTTGGTGGGACTGCCGCATCAACCCAGTCATGAGGGTGTGAGATGCAGAACATAGTTGAGGGAGAGTGGGGAGGCTGGGATGAGGGGTGCTGGGAAGCTGGCTCATGGCTGCATGGAGGAGGGAACACAGAAAAGGCCAGGAACGCAGTCAGAATAATCCCTGCGGCAGATGAGGAGGAGCCACTGGGTGGGGAGCTGGGGAGCGGAGTGCTGCTGGGGGAGGGGCTTTTCTGAGGAAGATCCAGCCGGCCTTGATGGGTTGTGAGGCATGAGGGACAGGAAGTGGTCCACGGTGATTCTCAAGGTCCCAGCTTCCAAGGATTCCCATTTTCTGAGTATGGTGTTCAAGGTATTCAACAATAGTGTCATCAAGATGTCCCGCTGTCATCAAGATGGGACTGAAATAAGGAGAACACAACTCTGTTTGTTCTGGATCCACTTGGAATGCACAGGATGCCTGCTGTATGGCGTGGCTTTGTGCTTGCTTATCCTCCACCTCTGGAAACCGGGGTGGCCTGATGTATGCAACAGGAACACCCGAGCCCCCGGGGTCCAGAGAGGTTACAACTCTGATGTACTTTCCTTCTGTGCCCAGTTTATTCCTGAGTCCGCTCGCTTCAATGTCTCCACTGGGAACACTCAGGCTGCCTTGGCCACGCTGGAGCATATCGCCAGGATGAACCGCTCCGTCATGCCAGAGGGGAAGCTGGTAGAGCCCATCCTGGTAAGTGCCCAGCTGGGAGGTCTCCTCCCCCCACCAGCCATGTCTGTCCTCCTGGGACAGACACGGGACAGTCGGAGGGGAGGGGTCCTTCGCCGGGTAGTCCTGCCCTGGAGGTAGTAGAGAAAAGAGCAGAGTAGACTGGGACTAAACCAAGCTCCACCCACAGCCAGGCGGCCCTGGCAAATTGAGTTCCCTGCCTTCATTTTTTCATGTGTGAAATGGGAATAGTACCATCTACCTTGCAGAGGCAGTCACATGATTTGGCATCATTGCTTATGTCAGTGAGAGATTGTTTTATAATTTTATTTTCTTGTACTGACCTTATAAATAATATAAAATGGTATAAATGATAAGCGGTATCAAACCTATAAACATCATTAAATAATGTTTTAATGATTTTAATTTAGTTTTTATTTTAAAAAATGTTTATTTATTTTTGATAGAGGGGAGGAGAGGAGCAGAGAGAATCCCAAGCGGCCTCTGCACTGCCAGCACAGAGCCGGACATGGGGCTTGAACCCACGAACTGTGAGATCATGACCTGAGCTGAAACCAAGAGTCAGATGCTTAACCGACTGAGCCAACCAGATGCCCCTTTTTTAAATGATTTTTTAAAAACATAGTTTGGCATTTAAATTCTAAGGTTTCCAGGACTCTCAAGGTCAATTTGAAATCTTTTCTCACATGAGCCCTGACCACCCACCTGCAGGCAAGTCAATCATAAGCTCTGGGAACTTTGACCAATGGCACCCCCCTCACCCATCTGGCCAACCCGGCAAAGCTTCTCATGAGACAAGAGTTAGCCTCCTGGTTATGGCTGGAATATGGTTACGGAGTGCTTGGTGAAACTTCCGTCTCAGTAGTTTATGCCTAATACTTATTTTGAAGTGAGAGGTGGGGGATAGTGATGGGGTGTTATGAGGAGTTTTGGGAAGTATAATTCACTTTATGTAAAGGTCAGAGTCTACTGGTGTTTAAGACTTTTGATTGAGTCAGTTTTGGTAATGTATATTTTAGAATATTGTCCAGCTCATCTAAGTTTTCAAATTTATTGATGTAAAATTGTTCCCAGTATTCTCTGATGAGGTCCAAAAATCTACATATGTCTCCTCTTTCATTTTAATGCCATTTATTTGTGGCTTCTCTCTTTTTCCTTGGTCTTTTTACTAACGGGTTTGTATATTAACTTCAAAGAACAAGGTTTGTTGTTGTTATTCCCTTTAATGATTTTTTTGGTGGTCTCATTAATTTCTATTCTTTGTTTTCTTCTTTAGATTTTTATGTTTTTCTAGCTTCTTGAGTTGAGTACTTAGCTCATTTGTTGTCATTTTTTTTTTATTTTAAATGAAGCATTTAGCTACATTTGACAAGTTATTTTAGAGAGTAATTTTTTTTTGTTTCTATTTTGTGACTGCTATGAATTTCTCTTTCACCCTTGTGTTATCTGTTAACCCTCTTTTTTACTCTTTGTTTCTAATTTAATTGCATTTTGGTCAGAGGATGTTTTCAATTGTTTGGAATTTGGAGACTTTTCTTCTCCACATAGTGACTATCCATTGATGCTCCATGTGTGCTTAAAAAGAGCGTGTGTTCTCATTGAGTATATATATTTTGTTATACTTTGTTAATTGCATCCTATAAATATCTGATGCTTGTGCAGATTTTGGTTAGCTGAGCTTACAGTTTGTCAGTAACGTGATGGCTTTGTTTATTTCTCCTTATAAGCCTGACAGTTTACTTCACGTATTTTGAGAACATCTTGGTGCTTCCTAGCATATGATTGACTTAATCTGATGGATAGATTTTATTATGATTCTTCTTTATACTGCCTTGGGCTTTACATTTTATTTTCTCTCATATTAATATACTGAAACTAGCTTAAGTTAGCATTTTTCCTGATGTTTCTTTTTTCCAGAACATTGTTTTTAACTTTTCTGTGTTGCTTTGCATTGAAAGTATTTCTTCTAAATATACAGCTGATTTTAACTTTTTTCACTCAGTCTGGTATTCTGTGTCTTTTAGCAGTGAATTTGATTCAATTGTATCTATTGTGATTACTCACATATTTGGACTTCTGCCATTTTATTTTATATTTCCTCTTGACCATGTCTTTCCTTTTCTCTTTTCCTACCTTTTACTAGAGTGAATTAGTTTGCTTTTCTCCCCACTGTGCTTCCTTCTACTGGCTTAGAATTTATTCACTCTATTCCTTTTAATATAGAGGTAGCCCTTAAATATTGAAAATGTGCTTCCACATATCTATGATTTTTAGTATCTTTATATGCTATCTGAAAAATACAAGGACCTTGAAGATATTATGATCTTCCCCAGTTTCATCTTCCAAATTATTTCTGTCTGATTTTTGGCTTCATGTTGTTTATAAGTTTTCCTAAATTAGATAGTGCTTTCTTTTTTTTGTTAAAAAAATTTTTTTAACTTATATTTATTTTTGAGAGACAGAGACAGAACATGAGCAAGTGTGTGGGGGGTCAGAGAGAGGGAGACACAGAATAGGAAGCAGGTTCCAGGCTTTGAGCTGTCAGCACGGAGCCCGACACTGGGCTCAACACAAACAGGGAGATCATGACCTGAGCCAAGTTGGAGGCTTACCCTACTGAGCCACCCAGGTGCCCCTAGACATTACTTTCTAAGTAGGTATCTGTTTAGATTTATTAAGGTTTTTACTACTGTCTTTTTTAGTGGTTTCAGACTTAACTTTACACCTGCATTCTTGTATCCTTCTCCTTAATATTTGGTTAATTTGGTCTCATACTTATTATTTAAATATTGGGTCTATCCAGGATTGATTGAGTATAAGAAACATGGTACAGGTCTAGCTTTGTCATATCCAAATAGCTAACCATTTGCTATTCAATTTTTATTGAATAATTCATCTTCTGTATATTTGGATCTATATTTGAATTCTCTTTTGTGTTCTAATGATGGATTTGTAGATTCAGGCATATGTAGGGACTTACTACATACTAAAGAGAGCATTTCATGTTGTTGGGAAGAGGATACAGATGAATTGTTGGTCCAATGTGATGCTTCTAATAACAGGATTTTTCATATTTAGCAGGATAAGTCCCCTTTGTCAAAGTTCTTCAGAATTTTCCAAATTATTTTGAGTACTATTATTCTAGAATAACATTGAAGTCACTTTATTAAGATCTTCTCCTAATTTCCCTCCAAAACCTAGGAGAGTTTAATTGGGATGGTGTTGGGGCACCTAGGTGGCTCAGTTGGTTAAGCATCTGACTTCAGCTCAGGTCATGATCTCACAGATCGTACGTTCAAGCCATACATCAGGCTCTGTGCTGATAGCTTAGAGCCTAGATAGCCTGCTTCAGATTCTGTGCCTCCCTCTCTCTCTGTCCCTCCCCTGCTCTGCTCTGTCTGTCTGTCTCTCTCAAAAATAAACATTAAAAAAGTTTAATTGGCATGGTGTTGAAATTATTAGTTAACACATAAAGAGAATTGATACCTTTATAATATTAAATATTCTTGTTTTGATAAAAGTATATGTTCCCACTATTCAAGTCTTTTTATATTCCTCAGCAACATAAAAAAAAAAAAAAAAAAAAGACAAACTCCTTTTACCAGAAGACTGATTTTCCTGAGGAGACAGTTCTCCTCATATGTTTTTTAATCTCTATTCTTTGTTCTTTTTATTTTTATTTATTTATTTTTTATAGAGTGAAGGAGAGAGTGCATATGCACATGAGCAAGAGAGAGTGTGAGAGAGAATCTCAAGCAGGCTCCATGCCTGGCATAGAGCCTAATGCGGGGCTGGATCTCATAACCCTGAGATCATGACCTGAGCTGAAATCAAGAGTCGGATGCTTAACTGATTGAGCTACCCAGGCACCCTTTATAAATATATATATATGCATGTATATATGTATATTTTTTATTTGCTACTTAGAGAAAATCCCTATGAGGTAGGCAAGTACCTGAGAAAAGAAAAGTGAAGAATCCAAGATTATAAGGTGACCATAGTTGACTTTTGAACAACACAAGGGTTAGGAGCACTGTACAATTGAAAATCTATGGGTAACTTTTGATTCCTCAAAAATTTTACTAATAGCTACTATTGACCAGAGGCCTTACTAATAACATAAACAGTTGATAACATAGATTTTGTATGTAATATGTATTACATACTTTCTTCTTACAATAAAGTAAGCTAGAGAAAAGAAAATGTAATTAAGAAAATCATAAGAGATGGGGCACGTGGGTGGCTCAGTTGGTTGAGTGTCTGACTCTTGATTTCAGCTCAGGTCATGATCCCAGAGTTGTGGGATCAAGTCCTCCAGTGGGCTCTACACTGAGCATTGAGCCTGCTTACACTCTCTCTCTCTCCCTCTACTCTTTGTCCCTGCTGTCTCTCTAAAAAAAAAAAAAAAAAAAAAATTCATAAGGAAAAGAAAATACCTTTATAGTACTGTGCTGTATGTATTAAAAATAAATCCACATTTAACTGGACTTGTATGGTTCAGATCCACATTGTTCAAGTGTCAACTGGGATCTTTTTATTTTCCCCAGGCAAGGCTTTTAAACATTTTTAATTCTAGTATAATAAATGTACAGTATTATGTTACTTTTAGATATACAGTATAGTGATTCAACAATTTTATACATTGCTCATTTCTCATCATGATAAGCACACTCTTAATTTCCTTCACTTATTTCACCCATCTCCCCATCCACCTCCTATCTGGTAACCATCAGTTTATTCTCTATAATTAAGAGCGTATTATTTTGTCTCTTTTTTTCTTTGTTCATTTGTTTTGTTTCTTTAATGTCACATATGAGTGAGGTCATGTGGTATTGTTTTTCTCTGATTGACTTCTTTCATTTAGCATTTTACTCTCTAGATCTACCCATGTCATTGCAAAGGGAAGATTCACTCTTTCTGATGGCTGAGTATAATTCCACTGTATATACACACCACCTCTTCTTTATCCATTATCTATGGATGGACAGTGGGTTGCTTCCATAGTTTGGCTTTTGTAAATATTGCAATAAAAATAAGGGTGCATGTATCTTTTCAAATTAGTGTTTTCATATTCTTTGCATAAAGACCTAGTAATGCATTTGCTGGATCATGTGGTAATTCTATTTTTGTTTTTTGAGGAATCTTAATACTGTTTTCTATGGTGATTTCACCAGTTTGCATTCCTGCTAACAGTGTGGGAGGGTTCGCTTTTTTCTGTATCCTCACCAAAACTTGTTATTTCTTGTGTGTTTTTTTAAAATGTTTATTTATTTATTTTGGGGTGGGGGAGGGCTGTGTGTTTATGAGCAGGGGAGGAACAGAGAGTTAGGGAGAGAGAGAGAATCCCAAGATGCAGGTCTTGATTCCATGACCATGAGATCATGACCTGAGCTGAAACCAAGAGTTGGACACTTAACATACTGAGCCACCCAGGTACCTCTATTTCTTGTGTTTTTAATGTTATTCAAAACTAACTATAATGGGGATGTATCTCATTTTGGTTTTGATTTGCATTCCCATGATGATGAGTTATATTGAGCATCTTTTCACGTGTCCATTGGCCATCTGTATGTCTTCTTGGGAGAAATGTCTGTTTATGTCTTCTGTTGCTTTTTAAACTGAATTATTTGGGGTTTTTTTTTTTTTTTTTTTGGTGTTGAGTTGTGTAAATGCTTTATGTATTTTGGATACTAAGTCCTTATTGGATATGTCATTTGCAAATATCTTCCATTCAGTAGGCTGTCTTTTAGTTTTGTTGATTGTTTCCTTCCCTGTGCAGAAGTTTTTATTTTGATATGGTCCCAGCAGTTTATATTTGCTTTTGTTTCCCTTGCCTTAGAAGACATGTCTAGAAAAATGCTGCTATGGTCAATGTCAGAGAAATTATTGCCTATGCTCTCTTCTAAGACTTTTATGGTTTCAGAGCTCACATTTAGGTCTTTAATCCATTTTGAGCTTATTTTCATATATGGTGTAAGAAAGTAGTCCAGTTTCATTCTTTTGCATGTAGCTGTTCATTTTTCCCAACAGCATTTGTTGAAGAGACTGTCTTTTTCCGTTGCATATTCTTGCCTCCTTTGTTGAAGATTAATTGGAACATACAATTATGGGTTTATTTCTGGGCTCTCTATTCTGTTTCATTGATTTATGTGTCTGATTTTGTGCCAGCACCATACTGTTTTCATTACTATGGCTTTGTAGTATATCTTGAAATCAGGGATTGTGATGCTTCTGGTTTGGTTCTTCTTTTTGAAGATTGCTTTGACTATTCAGGGGTCTTCTCTGGTTCCATACGATTTTTAGGATTATTTGTTCTAGTTCTTTAAAAAATGTTGTTGATATTTGGTAGGGATTGTATTAAATCTGTATATTGCTTTTGGGAATATGGACATTTTCACAATATTTGTTCTCCCAATCCATGAGCATGGAATATCTTTCTATTTGCATGTGTTATCATTTTGAAGTGTACAATTTAGTGGCATTAAGTACATTCAGAATTTTGTCATCTGGCTCTATGAATTTGCCTCTTCTCTATTTCATATAAGGGGAATTATACAATACTGTGTCTGGCGTATTTCACATAGCAGCCTGAAACAGTTGTTCATTAACACTCCTCTCACTGTGGGGTTTCCTTCAACGCACTGTAAATCTCCATACCACCAAGCCTGATTGGCTGCCAATCCCACTGGTTCTTCTAAAACAGAGGCTTTTACATCCAATCTCTTTCACACAGCCACCTCCCTGCCTCATTACCGTGATTTCAACAAGGACAACACTGTCAGACAAATAGTCTTTAAACATCATTACCTCCTCTGCTGCGTAGGAGCAGTGCCCCCCACCTCCACCCCTCACAGTCCCTGACTATGAGTGAAGCCCAGAATCCTCATCCCAGCATTTAAGGGTTCCCATGACCTTTATCAATCAGCCTTTGCATCCCTAGATCCATGGCTAAGTGCAGACTTGGGTAGGAGGAGGAAAGATGGAATACAAGAATGCTGGACACATGACAGTGAGAAAGGCATCACCAGAGAGGTGGGGAATGACACAAAGCAGAGACACCAGCAGTACAGAGAAAAGTTGTGGGTTCTTACCAGGGCTGCCATGGCTGTGGGAGAGCCTATTGTCTTTTCCTCTCCCAGCTTTATTGAGATGTAATTGTGTAAGCTTAAGGTGCACAGTGTCTTGATTTGATACTTATATACTGCAAAATGGTAGCTGCCATAGAGTTAGTTAACACTTCCATCATATCACGTAACTACCCTTTTTTTTTTTGTGGTGAGAGCATATAAGAGCTACTCTCTTAACAACTGTAAAATATGCTATACGGTATTTTTACTGTACTAAATAGGGGACACTCAATTCCCATAACAACTACCCTCCTTTCTCCACCCCTCTCTGATCTCCATCTTCTCTCCACATTCCACATCCTCACCCCCACCCCTCCCTCTTACATCCTTCTCCTTTCTCCCCCTTCCTCTTCCTCCCGCTTTTCTTCTCTTGCCGTCAGCTTGCAGCTTCCATCCGTATGCCAATCAGAGGGTCTTGTCCAGCTCCACATTGTCTCTTGTGCAAGGCCCTTGGAGTAGAGCTATAAGCCATTGACCCTGTGCTTAAGTCTCTTACAATCTGGTGAGATGAGGCTCACACAGCAAAGAATCACTCAGAGAAGAGCCAGATGTGAGAAGCGGGTGAGCGGCACAGGCAGCAGTGTATAGGATTGGAGCAGAGAGGTGACCATGAGCCAGGGCAGTCAAGCCCCCTTGAGGGGATAATTGGGGCAAGAGTTGAGCACTGAAAGGAGAGGCAGCCTCAGGAAAGGAAAGAGGAGGAATGGTGTGGGCCAAGACCGGAGGCAGGAAGGTGCAGTGGATTTGGTCACTCCGGCTGCCGTCAATGCTGCACAGAGGAGGCGGGACAAGATGGTATGGGCAGGCCAGCGAGTGCAGCTTCGTGCCCAGACGCGGACATGAGAAGCTCTGGGGACTGGCTAAAGGAAGAGCCACACCATAGATGAGATGAATGAGTCCACCAATTTGGACTGTAGTCAAAGGTTAAGGTCCAAATAATTTATTTGAATATAATTTATGATTCGTTGTGATTCACTGCAGACTCAGCGTTCTGAATCTCCAGTTACACCTGGGGAGGTGAGAGGGGTCCATAGTCATACATCAACTCAAAGCAGAATGTCAGAGAGGTAGATGGGTAAAACTCGGGACTAATAGTTAGAAGACCTGGACACCAGTCTGGCTCTGCCTCCAAACATCTCTGCAACCCTGGGCAAGTCACTTACCCTCTCTGGGCCACATTTTCTGTATTGGAAAATGGGAGGTTAGGACTAGTTCAGAGGTTTTCCAATGATAAGTAGCCAGAGCCCCAACATGTAAAGCAGATGAAAGACATCTGTCAGTTGCTCCCCTCTGTCCACAGTGACCTCTAGGAGCTGGGCCTAAAAGTCAGTGGAACAGCAGGGAGCCTGGCTGGCTCTTGATCTAGAGGTTGTAAGTTCAAACCCCATGTTGGGCATAGAGTTTGCTTTAAAAAAAAATCCCTGGAGAAAGTTGTTTCAAACTGGAACTTTGTGTGACAACAAAATCCAGGATGTCTAGTTTACTGCTGGTCTCTCGAGAGGGGCCTATAATTTTAGGTCTATTTGTGAGAAAGAATAGTTGGTTTTCAACAGAGCACCTTTGAAGCATTCATAGCTTTAAATAAAAATCCATCACTGCCCAATCATATATAACCCATCCTTACTTATTTTTATTCAAAATATGTAATTAGCACTGACTATGGTTAAGACCTTTTGCTAATTACCCTAAAGACACAAAAAGAAATCAACATTCTATCTTCTTTCCAAATGTATGACACTTTTTTCTAACACAATTCTCATGCTCTCTTTTTAATACTAGAGTTTTCCTTTTAATATGAAGTTTAAAAGAATCTCCTATTAAGGGTGCTTGGGTGGCTCAGTGGGTTTAGTGTCTGACTCTTGATTTCTGCTCAGGTCATGATCTCAAGTTTTGTGAGTTCAAGCCTCACACAGGGCTCTAGCACTGACAGCATGGACCCTCCTTGGGATTCTCTCTCTCTCTCTCTCTCTCTCTCTCTCTCTGCCCCTCTCTTGCTCTCTTTCTCACTCTCAAAATAAATAAATATAGTTATATTTAAAAAACAGAAACTCCAATCAGCTTTACAACTATACTTTTCATGTATCCGATTTTCTGTGCTCAGCTCCATCACTCACCAGCACTGGTGAGAAGAGGAAGAGAAAGAGGGTTAGAGTTCTTCAATTCAATGGATTGATCCTTGCCAGTGATAATAAAAAGCATGCAGGAGCTCCTGGGTGGCTCAGTCAATTAAGTGTCTCACTTCAGCTCAGGTCATGATCTCACTGTTTGTGAGTTCCAGCCCCGCATTGGGCTCTGTGCTGACGCTCAGAGCCTGAAGCCTGCTTTGGCTTCTGTGTTTCCCTCTCTCTCTACCCCTCCCCCACTTGCATTCTGTCTCTCTCCCTCAAAAATAAATACATGTTTAAGAAAGTTAAAGGAGTACAGAAGCATTGATCTGTGGGCCTGGTGAGGTGCTTGCATGGGAGTCGAGCAGTTCTCTCACCCGACCACATTCCCATGCTGTTCTTATTTTCTGTTCTCCAAAATACTAGAAAAAGTTTGCCAATCCTTAAGCCACTAAATCTAATCGGCCTGTCCCTTTTCTGTACCCCAGGAAAAAAGAGGAAGATTTGCAGATCTATTGGATGCTAAATATTTACGGACCACGTTACAGATCTGGGTCATATGGTAAGAGTGTAATTATTTCAAAATGACTTTTCAATAAACACAAAGCTGACTTAAGTAAATCCACTCTGTGCCACTGGGGAGAAAAACCACAGGCTGACTCCAGCAGTGTCTTATCTTTCTGCTAACACCAGAAACCAACCAATAAATAAATAAACCAATTTTTTTAAAGGAGAAAGAAATTTTCTACGACCAGTTTTTTATTTTCTATATGAGCTCACTTTCTAACCTTTTGTAGACTGGTCTTTTCCCTCGCCACATGACAGAAAGGAATCCTTTGAAGCCACCAACAATCAAATTCAGTGGAATAGACTATGATAGTTTTCATTGTACTTCACATCTCTCTAGCCATAACCTTGAATTCACAAAGATTTTCTAAACAAGGTACAAAAAGTGCTACTACATTAAATTAGAAACTCTGTGCCATGAGATACGAATAATCTGAAAAGTAGGTCACCAACTGGGCAAAAAGAAAAAAATCTAAATTTTGTACCAAATAAATAAATGTATATTTATATTTATAAATTTGTATATATGGATTTATAAATATAAATATATATGGATTTATAAATATATAAAAAATTATAGGGCTGGACAAGAAAAAGATCTAGAACTCAGTAGAAAAAGTATGTTACTCTATATCTCAACAAGAGACTTGAACAGGTGTTTGACTGAAATTGTACCAAATAAACATGAAAATATGCCCAACCTTAAAGTCACTGGGGAAATTCAAATTAAAACCAATGACGCTGTTATGAATCCACTGGAATGGCTAAAATTAAGCAGATTGACTATCCCAAGTGTTAGGAAGAGGTAAAGAAGTGGAGCTCTCACACACTGCTGACTAGAGTTCACATTAAAACCACTGTGGGAAACTGTCAGAGATATTTATCACAGTTGAAAATATGCATAGACTACAGCTCAGTAATTCCACACATAGGTTTCTACCTAACAGAAATACATACATATGTTTTCCACAATACATTTTTACATGAATGTCCATAGCCTCATTTTATTTGTCACAGCCCCAAACTGTAAACAGCCCACATGTCCATTAACAGTACAATGGATAAATAGTACTCATTAACTGGAAAACTATACAATAATGGAAAGGAGATAACTAGTTATCTCCACTCAACATGGCTGAGTCTTACAAATGTCTTAATGAGCAAAAGAAGCCAGACACACAGATACTTTTTATGTGATTCCATTTATGTAAATATAGAAAGCAGGAAAAACTAATCTATAGTGTTTCAATCCAGGAAAACTGTTCTATCTGCTCTTCCCAGATGTAATGATTATTAATAGGTTGGCATGTCACCTCCTAAGATGTTAATTTTCAAAATATTCTTAATATTTGGAAATTGAACTCAAGCTACTTGAATAACAAGGGGAAGCATTGTAATTATCTATAGGGTGTTTTTTGATATTTCATTATAAAAATGTTCAAATGCACACAAAAGTAGAGGATACCATAATGACCTGAAACTGACCCATCACCCAAATCTGACAGTCATTGATAGTTAATCCTATTTGCTTCAGCTGTTTTCCTGTGCTAACATATTTTCGAGCAAGCCCAGGCTTCATGACATTTCAACCACAGACACTCTCAATTACTTGAGGGCCTTTTCTTAGATGACTCAAATTCTACAATCAACCGATGATGGAGATTAACAGTCATCTCATTAATATCAGCCAATACCCAGAACATTTGTGATTTTTCCCTGGTTGTCCCTGTATGTCTTTTACAGCTGGCTTTTGCAACCATTTCTGTAAAACTGAGAGGGGCACAAGGGAAGTTTCTGAGGGGCTGATATTATTCCTTTTCTTGACTTTGATACATGACCTTTGTGTTACTCTATATCTCAACAAAAATATTTATTAAAGAATAGACAGAATAGAGACAGGAAGAAAACATAAAGCACAAGCAAAACCCTTCTGTGCTTCTCTAATGGCTTCCTATAGACACATGGGGATAGGCAGGATTCTAAAGATGCACCCCCAAGATTACCAACTGCAGTTGATTTAATCACACACTGATTTGAGTGCTCATGTAAAGGGACTGCATCGATGTAATTAAGGTTATGGGCCTTAAAATAGGGAGAGTATCCTGGATTAAGTAGGATTAAGGATTAAGGAGAGTATCCAGGATTAAGTATCCTGGATTAAGTAATCCAGTCACTTGAGTTTTATTTATTTATTTTTTTTTACTATATCCAAGTTAGTTAGCATTTAGTGGAATAATGCTTTCAGAAGTAGAATCCAGTGATTAATCCCCTACATGTAACACCCAGTGCTCATCCCAACAAGTGTCTTCCTTAATGTCCCTTGCCCATTTAGCCAATCCCCCAACCCCTCTAGTAACCCTCAATTTGTTCTCTATAGTTAAGAGTCTCATATTTTGGCTTCCCTTATGTTCATCTGTTTTATATCTTAAATCCCACATATAAGTGAAGCCATATGATACTTGTCTTTCTCTGGCTCATTTTGCTTAGCATAATACCCTCTAGTTCCATCCATGTTGTTGCAAATGGCAAGATTTCATTCTTTTTGATTACTGACTGATACTCCATTGTGTGTTTATATATTTATATACATATATAAATATATGTATATACATACACCACATATTCTTTATCCATTAATCTGTCAATGGACATTTAGGCTCTTTCCATACTTTGGCTATTATCAATAGCCCTGCTTTAAACACTGGGGTGCATATGCCCTGTTGAAACAGCTCACCTGTATCATTTGGATAAATACCCAGTAGTGCAGTTCCTGAGTTGTAGCGTACTTCTATTTTTAATTTTTTGAGGAACCTCTATACTTTTTTCCAGAGTGGCTGCACCAGTTTGCATTCCCACCCGTAGTGGAAAAGAGTCCCTCTTCCCCGCATCCTCACCAACAGCTGTTCTTGCCTGAGTTGTTAATGTTAGCCATTCCGATTAGTGTGAGGTGGTATTTCATTGTGGTTTTTATTTTATTTCCCTGATGATGAGTGATGTTGAGCATTTTTTCATGTGTCTCTTTGCCATCTGGATTTCTTCTTTTGAAAGTGTCTATAGATGTCTTTTGCCCGTTTCTTCACTGGGTTATTTGGTTTCTGGGTGTTGAGTCTGATAAGCTCTTTATAGATTTTGGATACCAACCCTTTATTTGATACGTAATTTGCAAATAACTTCTCCTAGTCCGTTGGTTGCCTTTTAGTGTTGCTAATTGTTTCCTTCGCTGTACAGAAGCTTTGTACCTTGATGAGGTCCCTATAGTTTATTTTTGCTTTTGTTTCCCTTGCCTCTGAGACATGTTGAGTGTGAATTGCTGTGGACAAGGTCAGAGAGGTTTTTGCCTGCTTTTTCCTCTAGGATTTTGATGGCTTCCTGTCTTACCTTTAGGTCTTTCATCCATTTTGAGTTTATTTTTGTGTGTGGTGTAAGAAAGTGGTTCAGGTTCAGTCTTCTACATGTCACTGTCGGGTTTTCCCAGTATCGTTTGCTGAAGAGACTGTCTTTATTCCACTGGATATTCTTTCTTGCTTTGTCAAAGATTAGTTGGCCATATGTTTGTGGGTCCAATTCTTGGTTCTCTACTCTGTTCCATTGATCTAAGTCTCTGTTTTTGTGCCAGTACCATACTTCCTTGGTGATTACAGCTTTGTAATACATCTTAAAGGCTGGGATTGTGATGCCTCCAGCTTCAGTTTTCTTTGTCAGTATTGCTTTGGTTATTTGGGGTCTTTTCTGGTTCCATGCGAATTTTGGATTGTTCTAGTTCTGTGAAGAATTCTGGAGTTATTTTGATAGGGATTGCATTGAATATGCAGATTGCTTTGGGTAGTATCAACATTTTAACAATATTTGTTCTTCCAATCCAGGAGCATGAAATGTTTTTCCATGTTTTTGTGTCATCTTCAATTTCTTTTGTAAGCTTTCTATAGCATTCAGTGTATAGATTTTATTTTACCTCTTTTAGGTTTAGGTTTATTCCTAAGTATTTTATGGGTTTTTGTGCAATTATAAATGGGACCAATTCCTTGATTTCTCTTTCTACTACATTATTGGTGTATAGAAAAAGAATAGGTCTTTCATGAATCTGATCTCTCTTTCCTCATAGGTTAAGGACTTTTTCCCCTTGCTGCCTTCATAGCTCTTTCCTTGCCTGAGTATTTTGTGAATTTGACTGTGATATGCCTTGTTGATGGTCGGTTTTTGTTGAATCTAATGGGAGTTCTCTATGCTTCCTAGATTTTGATGTCTGTGTCTTTCATCAGGTTAGTAAAGTTTTCTGCTATGATTGCTCACATAAACCTTCTACCCCTTTTTCTCTCTCTCCATCTTATGAGACTCCTATAATTTGGATGTTATTCCTTTTTAATGGGCCACTGAGTTGTCTAATTCTTATATCCTCTTTTGCTTTAGTTTCCCTCTTTTTTCTGCTTCAGTATTCTCCATAATTTTGTCTTTTGTATCACTGATTCACTGCTCTGCTTCATTCATCCTGGCCACTGTGACATCCATTTGAAATTGCATCTCAGTTATAGCATTTTTTGTTTCATACTGACTAGATTTTACTTCTTTTATATCTGGAGAAAGAGATTCTATGTTTTTTTTTCAACCCAAGCTAGTATTCTTATTATTGTGGTCCTAAATTCTAGTTCAGACATCTTGGTCATATCTGTGTTGATTAAGTCCCTGGCTGTCATTTCTTCCTGTTCTTTCTTTTGGGGTGAATTCCTTATTTTCATTATTTTGAAGAAAGAAAAATAATTACTAAAATAAAAATTAAAATTAAAAAATTAAAAACACAAAAAATCAAATGAAGGAAGCTAGATCCTAGTTGTGTTTTGGTCTGATAGTTGAAAGAAGCTTGACAGAATAGAGAAAAAAGGGAAAGAAAAGAAAAATAAGAATAGAATAAAATGAAATGAAGAAAGTAAAATAGAATAAAAAATTACCAAATAAATAGTAAATTTTTTTAAATTTTATAAAAACGGAAAATAAAAATAAATTTTTTCTCTTTCTCTATCCAAGAAAATAAAAAGAGAAAAAAATGAATAGATGGACCAATGAACAGAATGAAATCCCAATGAAATTACTTCCAGTTTCCACTAGAAATCAAACTATGGAGCACTTTATAGTCTGTACACTAAGCAGGTGAAGAAACTTGTGTCCTACTCTAGGACTTGGTTGCCACAGTTGGACAGGTCTTGGTTTAACAGCTCTGTACTCCACTAGGTGGCACTGCTTAGCTTATTGTGGTGGATTGGTGTGGCGTGCCTGCATATATATGCACAGGTGTGAGAGAGGTGAAATGGTGTCACCCAGCTTCCCAGTCTCTAGTATCAGAATTCTGTGTTCTGTCCAACCAGCCATCAGGCCCTCCTCTTTTATCTCCAGCTTCCATCCACTTCCCACTCCTCTACTGTCTGGACCAAGCTGTCAGCCTACCAGGTGGCACCTCCTTCCCGAATTTTATCTCAGATGGGCTCTGTTTCCAAACTCCTCATTTCTGAAAGCCCTGTCATTTGGGCCCACTCTGATCCTCTGGGGGAGGGTCTTAGCTGAGCAATGGCTGGGTGCCAGCTTGACCCCAGGAATGCTTGTGCATCTGCACTATTGTGGAGGCCCAGAGACCCAGAGACTTTTCTGCCGCAGAAAAAGTTTGCATGGTCGTGGAGCAGCGACAGTTCAGGGACTATGGCAAATTGTAGCACACATCTGGTGCCAGGCTTCACTGCAGCCTAGTGTCCAGCAAATGTGGCTGCTGTCCACAGTCCACTAGGACCTTTTCCCATGTGGAGGCCACACAGCCTCTACCAAATGTCCTCCCAGTAGGGAAACTGCCTCTCCCTTTGTGGCCCAAGGACCCCTTGGACCTCACTGCCAACTCCTGGTGATTCGCCCTTCCCACTAGAGCACCACCATTGGGCTGTGGAATTTCCAATGCTGCTCTGCCCTATTTATAGAGTCTTAATGTTATTGAAACCTCCTTTCTCCTTTCTCCCTTTCTTGTTCAGACCCTTCTGGGTGTTTCCACTCTTTCTCTTTCTCTCCATCTACTTTTTTGGGGGGAGTGCTTTTCCTATATACTCTTCCCCACTGTCTCTGTCCTCTCTCCACAAACTAAAACAGCTCCCTACTCTCTGCGACCTCTTTCTTCCCCCTGTTTACCTCTCTGCACTGTGTACCTGCTGAGTTCTGTGGCTCAAGTTATGCAGATTGTTGAGTTAATCCTCAGATCAATTTTCTAGATGTGCAAAATGGTTTGTTGCTGATCTGGTTGCATTTCAGGGACAAGAGAAGCAGAGAACTTCCATGCTGCTCCACCATCTTGGCGCCCCCCTCCCCCCATAAGGGGCTTTTAAAATCACAGATGCCTGCTTTGTAATTCTAAGAAAAGGATTTGCTTTGAACTTTTCTGGAACACCCTATGTATTCTTAAGGATTCATACAAAAATGAAACAAAGTACATAGAGTCTGACATCAAATGGAACAGTTTTTAAGAGTAGAGTGATGTTTCCAGTTGGAATCAAAGATGGAGCAGAGAAGAAAGTAAGAGGTGAGGCAGGTGATTCCAGAGCATGAGGAGGATTGGGCCTGAAGGAAGCCTACAGAAGCTGAGAGCAACTGGTCAACAGCAGCAAGGGGATGGAGAGAGGAGTTTTCCATCCCCATGGAGAGAATTATGCCTGGGATCTGGAAGGATTCTGCCCCCACACCTACAAAGGCATGTGGCCTTGCCTACACTTTGATTTCTGTCTCCTGAGGCTCTGAGCAGAGAAATCAGCCAGACCCATACAACTCCTGGTTTACAGGACTGATGTAATAATGTGTGTTGTTTTAAGCCAGTAATTTTGTGCTTCACACCCCCTCACTGGCTATGGGGCACTCTGGGATCTGGTCCTAGGCTGCACTTGCAAATCCATTTCCCACCCCAGTTCCCCTGCACACCTCCCCAGGCTCCATGAGATAGGTGAGCCTTGCCTTCCACACCCTTCCCACCCAGTGCCTCCTGCCCTGACTGCTCCCCCCCTTCTCTCCCCTTCTCTCTACTTTGGTGGCACTGCACCTCCCTCAGGCTGGTGGCAGCCATTCTAATGACTGGCTTCTCTCACTTCCAGGCTGGGAATTTCTTTCGCCTACTACGGGGTCATCCTGGCCAGTGCTGAGCTGCTGGAGCGGGACCTGGTTTGTGGTTCACGGTCTGAGTCCGAGGTGGTGGTGACTGTGGGGGACACAGAAGGGAGCCAGAGCCCCTGCCACTGCCACATGTTTGCCCCCTCTGACTACAAGACCATGATTATCAGCACCATTGGTGAAATTGCTCGTAAATGTCTACTTCTGTGTATTGGGCACCTTTCTGTTTGGGGTGGGAGACCCTGTCATAGATGTGCCTCCTGCCTGGTAGAACTGAATAAGTCCCTACATCTTGCTGATATGTCTCCAGTGCAGATTGGTGTGGGGAGAAGTCCGGAGGAGTAGAGCTTTGAATATAGTAGTATGACATCAACCCTAGGATGCGTGTTTTCCTCCATGTTTTGACATCTCTGAAACTGAGATGTGTCTTACAGTGGCTTGTTAGATTTCAATTTGCAGCACTGTTTTTGTTTTAGTATACTTAAAAGAATGGTACTTAAAAATCAACAGAACCTTCAATTTGATGAAAAACAGTGTAAACCATTTAAAATATGGGTCTAGCAGGGTTGCAATTAATGACTGACCTACATGCTGTAATAAGCATCTTGGGCGTAAAATATCCTTTATATACATGCCAGTGCTTGTCATTCTTGCACCTATGAGGAACAGACATATTGAAAGGGAGTCCTGAGTTTGATGATCATGTTACCGGGCTTTGGCTGGAACACACATGAGGTTTGGATGAAGTTGCCTCTTTCTGAAATGACGAGGAACCCTTGCCAATGGTGATAAATGCATCTTGCTTTCAAGGTTTCAGAAGCTGTTACTGTCATTTGTTTTCTAGTGAATCCTTTCAATATCCTGGGCATTAATTTCCTGGGAAGACGGCTGAGTCTTTCTATCACCATGGGATGTACAGCCTTATTCTTCCTTCTCCTCAACATTTGCACATCAAGGTATTTTATCTCTGGTTGCTTCAAAACAATCTAGTTTTGTGCAGTGGCTTTAAGTTGGAGTTTTTTTGACCCATAGTGTTTAATAGGATCAGGGAAAGAAACTCTCATGAGCAGAGTAGTGAATGGGCTGCTGGTCTGACTGGAATTGCCTTTCTGACCCACGCCACCCCCCTTCCTTCTTCCACAGACCCAGCCCCACCTCTGCTATTCCAGGACATAAGTGCTAGTGCTGGTGCAATCTTTGTACCCACCAAGGTAGTTAGGAGCTTTCTGCAAAGCTTCCTGGAACCTCAGGACCGCAATTGTTTAACAAATTGTTGGGACCATTATTAAGATAGTTCAGGGAAAGAGGTAATATACCTGTGGCATAAAGATTCATTTCACTATTAATTTGCAATCCTGAAATGTCCTCACTTATAATACATATTCTGTGAGCTGCATCGGTTTTGGAGGGTGGCAGCAGCAGGTGTGCTAATCTGAGGTTGGGGGTCAGGCTGGAATTGCCCACTTGGGGCAGAGGGGAGGACAGGGAGTTGGGCTGAAGGCTGGAGTCAGGCATTTCCTTGAGGACCCCACAATCAGGCCAGTTGAGAAGCAGCACCTCCCAGGACCTGGTTATCTGTAGGCGTGTGTTGGCATCTGTAATGCTCAGTTATGTAATGTGAGCACCTGTCAGGGCCATGGAAAGCCCTCCATGCTGCCTTTCCTAACTTCTCTGGCATCTTGTTCCCTAGTGCTGGCCTCATTGGCTTCCTGTTCATGCTGAGAGCTTTGGTGGCAGCCAACTTCAACACCATCTATATTTACACTGCTGAGGTCAGTTGTGGGGAGGGGTGTGGGTCCACCGAGGCACGCAAGGTGAGCTACTCTGGGTGTCTGTCCACAGACGTGTCCTAGCCTCTGTTGACTTTGAACGATTTTCTAAAAATACTCCATGAAAATGATACCAGGAGGTTTATTTGAGAGTTTCCTCTGCTCCTTAACATCGAGTGCAAGCCAGTCTCTAAAAAGAAATTTAAGACCTGCCTTTCTTGTGACACAGCATACATGTAAAAAACTCATTGTCCTAGCACTGTGGTGGTTTTCATCCATCTGTTACTTGCAACATGTAGCTTAAGTTTGAATAAAATAGAAATTGCTTAAATTTGAATATGACATTCTTTATGAATTTATTGAATTAATACAGCTACTGTATGAGGTGCTACATAAAGAAGCTTGAGAATATCCTCATAAACACACATACTGAAGAGCTACTATTCCTAGAAATAAACAATATCTGAATAGGAAATTTAACAGTATTTTAACTGTTTTTGTCCTTCATTGAGCTAGAGAAGATGGTACTACAGGGGCTGGTAAAGCTGTGCCCATTTTCTTTTCTGTCTTTCCAAGTTTTTATTTAAATTCCAGTTAGTTAACATACAGTGTAAAAATAGTTTCAGGTGTACAATACAGTGATTCATCACCTCCATACAGCACCCATTGCTCGTCCCCAAAAGTACATTCCTTAATCCCTATCACCTATTTCACCTTTCCTCCCATTCCACCCCCCATCTGTAACCATCAGTTTTTGTTCTCTGTAGTTGAAAGTCTGTTTCTTGGTTTGTCTCTCTCTCTCTCTGCTCGTTTGTTTTGTTAAGTTCCACATATGAGTGAAATCATATGGTATTTGTTTTTCTGATTGACTTATTTAGCTTAAGTGTAATACTCTGTAGCTCTATCCATGTCATTGCAAATGACAAGATTTCATTCTTTTTTATGGCTGAGTAGTATCCCCTTGTATATATACACCACATCTTCTTTATCCATTCATCAGTCAATGGACATTTGGGCTCTTTCCATAATTTGGCTACTGTTGATAGCACTGCTATAAACATTGGGGTGCATGTGCCCCTTTAAATAAATATTTTTGTATTCTCTGAAGAAGTACCTAGTAGTGCAATTGCTGGATCATAGAGAAGTTCTATTTTTTATTTTTTAAGGAAATTCCATGTTGTTTTCCAGAGTGACTACATCAGTTTGCATTCCCACCAATAGTGTAATAGGATTCCCTATTCTCCACATCTTTTCCAATACCTGTTTTTCCTGTACTGTTAACTTTGGCCATTCTGATAGGTGTGAGAATATCTCATTGTAGTTTTGATTTGTATTTCCCTGATAATGAGTGATGTTGAACCTCTTTTCATGTGTCTGTTGGTCATCTGGATGTCTTCTTTGGAAAAAATGTCTATTCATGCCTTCTGCCCGTTTTTTAACTGGATTATTTTTTTGGGGTGTTGGGTTGATAATTTCTTTATACATTTTGGATACTAACCCTTTATCAGATATGTCTTTTACAGAATCATCTCTCACTCAGTAGATTATCTTGTAGTTGTGCTGATTGTTTCCTTCGTTGTGCAGAAGGTTTTTATTTTGATGAAGTATCAATAGTTTATTTTTACTTTTGTTTCCCTTGCTTCAGACCTATCAAGAAGTTGCTGCAGCTGATGACACAGAGGTTGCTGCTGGGCACCTTAGTAGTTCAGCTGGTTAAGCATCTGACTTGATTTTGGCTCAGCTCATGATCTCACAGTTCATCAGTCTGAGCCCCACATCAGGCTCTGTGCTGAAGCATGGAGCCTGCTTGGGATTTTCTCGCTCTCACCCTCTCTCCCTCTCCCTCCCCCCTCCCCATACCCTTCTTGGCTCCCTCTTTCTCTCTCAAAAAAAATGTAAAAAAAAAAAAAAAAAAAAAAGTTACTGCCTGTGTTCTCTAGGATTTTAATGGTTTCCTGTTTCACATTTAGGTCTTGTATCCATTTTGAATTTATTTTTGTGTATGGTATAAGAAAGTGGTCCAATTTCATTCTTTTGCATTTTATTGTCCAATTTTCTCAACACCATTTGTTGAAGAGAAAGTCGTTTTTCTATTGGATGTTCTTTTCTGTTTTGTTGAAGATTAATTGACCACATAGCTGTGGGTTCATTTTTGGGTTTGCTATTCTGTTCCATTGATCTCTGTGTCCGTTTTTGTGCCAATACCATACTGTCTTGATCACTTCAGCTTTGTAATATAACTTAAAGTTCAGAATTGTGATGCCTCCAGGTTTGCTTTTCTTTTTCAAAATTGTTTTGGTTCTTTGGGGTCTTTTGTGGCTGCATACAAATTTTAGGATTGTTTGTTCTAGCTCTGTGAAAAATGCTCTTGTTATTTTGATAGGGATTGCATTAAATGTGTATATCGCTTTGGGTAGTATAGACATTTTAACAGCATTTGTTTGTTCCAATCCATGCACAGAATGTTTTTCCATTTCTTTGTGTCATTTTCCATTTCTCTCACCAGTATTTTATAGTTTTCAGAGTATAGATCTTTAACCTCTTTGGTTAGGTTTATTCCTAGGTATCTAATGGTTTTTGGTGCAATTGTAAATGGGATTTATTCCTTGATTTCTCTTTCGCTGCTTCCATTATTGGTGTATAGAAATGCAACCGATTTGATGTTGATACTGTATTCTGTGACTACTGAATTCATGTATTCTAGTAATTTTTTGGTGGAAAAAAAATTCAGGTTTTCTATATATAGGATTGTGCCATCTGCAAATAGTAAAAGTTGGACTTTTTCCTTGCTGATTTAGATGCTATTGATTTCTTTTTGTTGTCTGATTGCTGTGGCTAGGATTCCAGTACTATGTTGAGCAACAGTGATGAGAATCCCTGTCATGATTCTGAGCATAGGGGAATAGCTCTCAGTTTTTCTCACTGAGGATGATACTAGCTGTGTGTTTTTCATATATGGCCTCTATGTTGTTGAGGTGTGTTCCCTCTAACCCCTACTTTGTTGAGGGCTTTATCACGAATGGATGCCGTACTTTGACAAATGCTTTTTTGTTGTTGTTGCATCTACTGAAAGGAGCAAATGGTTCTTATCTTTTATTAATATGGTGTATCATATTGATTGTTTTGCCAATATTAAACCACCCTGGCAACCCAGTAATAAATCCCAATTGATCGTGGGAAATGATTCTGTTAATGTACTATTGGATTCAATTTGTTAGTATTTTATTAAGAAGTTTTGCATCCATATTCATTAGGGATATTGACCTACAGGTTTTTGTTTGTTTGTTTTCTTTTGTGGAGTCTTTATCTGGTTTTGGAGTCAGAGTAATGCTGGCCTCATAGAATGATTTTGGAAGTTTTCCTTCAATTTCGTTTTTTGGGTGGGAAGATAGTTTGAGAAGAAGAGGTATTAACTCTAAATGTTTGGTAGAATGCCCCTGTCAAGCTATCTGGTCCTGGACTTTTGTTCGTTGGGAGATACTTTATTACTTGATTCAATTTCTTTGCTGACTATTGGTCTGTTCAACTTTTCTGTTTCTTTCTATGTCAGTTTTTGGTAGTTCATATGGTTTTAGGAATTTATCCATTTCTTCCAGGTTGTCCAATTTGTTGGCACATAGTTTTCCATAATATTCTCTGAATATTCTCCAAATTGTTTGCATTTTGTATTGTGGTGTTGGTGGTTATTTCTCCTCTCTTATTTGTGATTTTATCTATTTGTGTCCTTTTTCTTTTTGATAAATCTGGATAAGAGTATATCGATTTTATTATTAATTTTTTCCAAAGAACCAGCTCCTAGTTTCATTGATATATTCTATTGCCTTTTTAAAGTTTCTTTATCATTTATTTCTGCTCCAGTCTGGATTGTCCCCCTTCTTTTTCTGGTTTTTAGCTTCATTTCTTGTTCTTTTTCTATCTCGTTTAGGTGTAAGATTAGGTTGTTTGAGACTTTTCTTCTTGATGTAGCCCTGTATTGCTATATACTTCCCTCCAGTGACCACTTTACTGCATCCCAAAGATTTTGGGCCATTGTGTTTCATTTTCATGTATTTTTATTTTTTCTGTGATTTCCTGGTAGACCAATTCATTCTTTAGAAGCATGTTGTCTAACGTCCATGTATTTGTGGTCTTTCCAAATTTCTTCTTCCAGTTTCATAGTGTTGTGATCATAAATTTGCATGTTATGATCTCAGTCTTTTTGTACTTATTGAGGCCTGATTTGTGACCGAGTATGTGATCTCTTTTGGAGAATGATCCAAGTGCATTTGAAAAGAATGTATATTGTGCTGCTTTAGGATGAAATATTTTGAATCTGGTCCAATATGCCACTTAAAGCCATTGTTTCCTTGTTGATTTTCTGCTTAGATGATTTGTCCATTGATGTAAGTGTGGTGTTAAAGTTGGTTAATATTATTGTGTTGTTATCAATGTGCTCCTTGACTTTTGTTATTGGTTTATATATTTGGGTGCTCCCACTTTTGTGGGCATAAATATTTACAACTGTTAGATCTTCTTGTTGGATTGTCCCCTTTTTTATGTTATAGTGCCCTTCATCTCTTGTTATAGTCTTTGGCTTAAAATCTAGCTAGTCTGAAATAAGTATTGCTACTCCAGCTTTCTTTTGACACCCATTTGCTTGATAAATGTTTATCCTCACTTTGAATCTGCAGGTGTCTTGAGATCTAAAATGAGTTTCTTATAGGAGGTATATAGATGGGTCTTGTTTGTTTACCCATTCTGACATCCTGTGTGGTTTCTTGAAAGTTTATTTTATTTATTTTTGAGAGAGACTAAGACAGCATGAGTGGGGAAGGGTCAGAGGAAGAGGAGACCAAGAATCCCAAGCAGGCTCCATGCTGCCAGCGTAGAGTCTGGTGTGGGGCCTGAACTCAAGAAACCGTGAGATCATGACCTGATCCAAAACCAAGAGTCAGACACTTAACCAACTGAGCCACTCAGGCATCACTGACACCCTGTGTCTTTTGATTAGAGTCTTTAGTCCA